AGTGTGTGTGGTGGGGGGGGGGGGGAACGAAAAAACAGAAGCACGGATATTAAAAAAGATGGAAAAAATTCTGCTCAGGCCCTTATGTAAAAAACATATGTATCCAAAAACGTCAGTGCACCGCGGCGCCATCTCAATAACCCAACCGGTGCGGCCACCCAAAAGAGATTTTTTTTTTTTTCACGCTACTGCAGAGGACAGTAACCACCCCCCTCCTGAGACATACACACGAAAAAAGACCAAAGGAACTGTGAGAAAAAAAAAGCGAAACAAACTTCGTCGCTTCCTTTTTTCCCGAGGGCGTGAGAGTGAAGTTGTCCAAGTGTCTCGAGTCTTGGCGAGGTAGTGCAGGGAGGAGGGGGCATGCGTGCATGAATGTGAGAAAAAAGCGGATATAGAGCGTAGAGCCACGCGCTGCGGCTCAGAAGGAGAACGTCGGATAGCCGCCGCCTGTGACGGCGTCAGCTCTCCCGTCCGCGGAGAAGGATGGCGGTTGCCGCCCCGTGGGCTGCCTCATGCAGGCGATGCGGCCCACGGCCCTGTAGCCCTCCACGGGTAGCAGGAGCTGCTCCACGTTGTAGAGATGCCGCGCCGTGTGCGTGAGCCGCGCAGCGACGCGCACTTCCACAGGTGCGGCGTTGACGTCTACCAGCCCCCCCGCCTCAAGCACGTCGTGGGGCAAGTACCATAAACTTCGCCCGTGAATGGTGTGTGGGGACTCCAACTGGGAGGACCACACCAGCTCTGTCTCTTGGTCGCGGGAGATGATGGAGGCCAGCTCCGGAGACGGGGAGTTTAGTATCGCCTCGTACTGCAGCTCTGGGAAGCTCAACACCTCCCCTGTCGTGCCGTGAATAGGCTGACCAGGGTTCACCCGCTCCGCCTCGAGCACGTTTGCCGGGATTCTATAACTATCTGGCAATACCACCTGCGAGATGTGATAGTATTGTGTGTACGCCTTGGCGTCGCTTATGGCAGCTGCCGCGGTCCCGGGCGTGCCGAGTTTGTACTCATCAAGAGACGACATGTCGAGCGGATCCGCGTCAGGCCGAACGGCTATCCCAGCTGCCTGCAGCACAGCTCTCGAAAAATACAATGGGGACTGAAAGCCATGTTTCCCGTAGTGTGCCGAGACTAGGCCAAAAAACTTGCTGGCTGACGGGAACCACTCATTTGCGTCACGAAAGTGGTGCAGGCACCCGGTCTTCCCTGACACAAACGAGTGCTTCAGCAAATCCTCTGCCCCCGAAAGCATAGAGATGTGCAAAAGTCGTGTCATATTGTAACAAAGCACCGCCGCTGGATACGCATTGGGGCGAAGCAGACCTCCTTTGTCCCGCCACTGCTGGTGCGTGCCCCACCAGTTCGACTCAAAGCCAGCTATTCCCCGATAGCGCTCTAACTCTTTTTGTGTTTGTGTCTCATACACCCGCATGGTCGATACGGATGCTGGTGCGGTGGCAACAGGCAGCTTCCAGTGTACCTCACTCTCCGGCAGAAGTTGATCCATGTTAAATAGGAACTTACATCTCGGTACTTGTGCAAGCAGCATGGGCGCATTCTGTGTGTCACCCGCCTCGCCGCTGCGTCGTACACTGCTGGGGTCAAACTTCAAATTTGGAAAATGAAAGAGGTCGTGCTCGCTTAGCCACATCGGATGATGACGAAGCGGATGATCCGGAAGAGCGTGACGGCTAAGAAAGCTCTCTAAGTGCGGCATCGCCGGGGTAAAGGCGACGCCGCGAGGTCTTGAATGCCGCATTTACTGCCTTCTACCGGTGTAACGTGCAAGCGTGTGCTCAGAGTTGTGCAACGATGTTTTATGCAGCGTCCGTCTGCCTGTCCAGTTGGCGGAGACAGATGTAAAAGAATGAATCTCTCTCTGTGGGTGTTTTTTCCCCCTTCTTTATCTGTGGTTCTGGCTGAACTTCGCTCTTTGCTGCTGCCACGGTGCCACTGCTCAAGGTGGCTGTGCCCACCGCCACTAAAACAAATGAAAACCCCCTCCTTCCCTCGCCCCCTTCCCGCCAGCTCTGCCTGCACCTGTGTGTATGTGTGTGTGTCTAGACATTGACGGCACTCAAAACGAAGAAGAAAAGGAGAGAGATAGAGTAAGAGCGTGAGTTAGGTGTGTGTGGCTACACGTATCTACCGGTGGTGGTGAAATTTCGCGTGGTGCTGCACATGCTAGGGCCTCAACGAACAACGGGGCAACAACGCCGCCGCCGCCGCCGGCCGCGTCTTCCCGCATGCATGTGTCCAAACAACACTCAATGCATCTTCTCTTATTGTTTCTCGGCTCTTCTCTTTTTTGTCGCTTCTTCTTCGTCTTTTTTTTTAAAAAAAATTGGAGGTGGCTGCGGGCGGTTACCCCACTTTATGCATGTGTTGTGTGGCTGTGTGCGTGTGGGGACGCCACCCCTCATACACACGCAGCGGCAGCGGCAGCGGCAGGAGGCGGGTAAAGAGGACGGGTTAAGCGTGCGACGACAGCGGCGGTGGCCGGGGCGTGCGGGGGGAGCAGAAAGCTACTACAAAAAAAAAAGGGAACGTAACGAACGGTGCTTGTAAGCCGTGTACACACACACACACTTGTCTTCACTGCCCTCAACGCTCCTGCACACTTTCCCCTCTATTTCCTCCTCCCTCCTCCGCCCCCACCAAAACGCCACCGTGCGTCACCTCCGCCCCACGCCCCGCCCCCGGCCATCAAATCTATAGATATGGGTATATATATATATATACATATACCTTCACGCGTCTCCTGCGTCGTCCACCAACAACCAGAGAGCACCAACAGCGTCGCCCTTGTTGACGGCTGCCGCATCTGTAAAATCATAGGGGCATACAACACATACACACACACATAAATGTACGTGCACGCACACACCGAGAATAATAATAATGAAAAAAAGAAGCCTGCGAATAAAAAAAAAAGAGTTGATGAGGACAGAAGGGGTGTAAAGAAAGTGGCGCATGTCTAAAATAACACTCCCCACCCCACCCCAAGCCCTCATCGTCACCGCCGCCGCGGCCCTCTCGCCGCATCGAGCTGCTTTTCTTCTACTCCATTTTGCTTTTTTCCCTCTGCCCTTCCCCTCTCCTGATTTCATTGCCCCGCAAAGAAAAGGAAACTCCTCGTCACTCCTCTCGCTGTCCATGAAGACCCGAGGCAGAAAATAGAGCTTATGCCCCCTTAGCCCTTCTTTTGTGTGTACGCACGCACGCACGCATGCATGCGCTGCAATGTGCACGACTCGCTCTTTCCCAGAGCGGATGTCTGCCACAAGCTGCTCCCCTTTTCACCATCTATGTGCGTATTTATATATATAAAAGTAAATAAATGGAATCTCCTCCGCCTTACTAATGTTTTTCCGCTTCTCATTACTCCTCTTCCCGCGCACCCCGCCCCGTCTACTGCACGTAGAGTCCGGCCTTGGCAAAGGCCTCCTCTGGGTTGCTAAGCTGCTCCACGTTGTACAGCTCAACCTGCAGGGAGGCCGCGCCTTCGTTGCGAAGGGGCACGCCCTTCTTCTCGGCCTCCCTGATGGGCCATTGATACAACTCGGCATCGCGGCCACTCAGCCAGTAGTTGCTCTTAAACTTTGGGAGTTTCTTCATACTCTCGTTTTGAATTGGCTCCCCAGAGAGGAGGAAGGTCGGGATGTTCACCGGGGAGCGATCCAGCGTCCTGAGCGCAAGCTCCGGGTCCTCAAGCTGCTCCACGTTGTAGATAAGGTACCGATCCCCCGAGTTAACGTCTAGTGCCACCGGTGTCTGGCTTGGCTGCACCGCCAGCTTAAAAAACTCTAGCTGGCGGTTTGTAAAGTAAAGGCCGCTGTTAAACATATTCTGACGAATATGCTCCGAGAGGGTTTGGAAGGCCTCGCCTTTCCTGCTGTACAGCTTCCTCGACCCGCCAGAGACGGGGTGCGTCATCAACGCCTCGCCGCCAATAAGTTGGCTGGAGTGAAACAGCTTAAGTGAACTCTTCGTTAAAATGATAGAACTACGCGCATTTCCCCTGAAGGTGAGGGAGTTCTTGATCGCCTGCGCCCTCGTGAGCCACCACTTACTCTGAAATCCATGCTTCTGTGCACGATCATTAAGCTCAAACTGCAGCTTCTCGCCATACATTTTTCGTGAGCTGTAGCTGCTGTGCTTTGGCGCCTCCATCACCTCTGGCGGGGAGAGAAGTTGATCAAAGTTAAAAAGTTCCAGCGGTTTGTCCAGCAGCAGCTGCGTAGGAACAGACCCAGGCTCCGGGCTCAGTCCGTGGTTCTCCACCTCCCAGTCCTCAATCCAGACGTTACTTGGGCTGCTGCGGGCTTTCTGGTTGCTCTCAAGGATGTGGTGCTGCTGACTGAACACAACGATGGTGCGCACGGCGCCCACGGCCTTGATGGTGGGTGGGAGTCGTCGAAACATTGCTGCTGTCCCTTCCCTTGTTGTTGCGTGTAGCTCCCTGCAGCAGGTGCGGTGCGACGAAGGCAGAAAAAAAAAAGAAAAAGAAAAAAAAGTCATATATATATATATATATGCGTGTTAAGCAACGGCGTGTTATCGCAGCACGACGCCAAGAGGAAGGCGGCGATTCCCACAGCTCATATCCCGCCATGTGATTTGCCGTCGCTCCTTCGTTGTTTGTTTTCTGTCCCTCACCCCTCAGGAGTCGCCGTAGTGACGCCTGAATGCGGACGCGTTAAATGTGCTGCCCCTCCTTCCCTTGCGCGTGTGCCAGCTGGCGTAGGGGTCGCTGAGCCGTCCCACCCGCCCAGGACGCGAGTACAACGCGACGTGTGCGGAGCAGTCAAAATGGCGCCCTTGCCGGTGCTCCGCGATGCTTCCAGGGTGCTGCGAGAGCTGCAGCACGCCACGCAGGCGGTTCAGCGTGGGCGGTTGTTGGCGGATGTCCATCAGATTCCACCTGCGGCGACCGCAGAGGAGGCGCTGCATCTGCCGGAGAATAAGTCACGGAGAGGGGCGCCTTTGACACCGCCTTGTCTGTCTCCGTGCTCGCTAAGCTACGCTTGCGGGCGCTGTACCTGCGTGCATGGGAGGTGGAAAAAACAAGAAGAAAAAGAAGGGGACCACCTGCTTCCAGCGACGAAGGCAACGTACAGCACGAGCCACGGCAACAAAAAAAAAAAAAAGAACAACGGCGGCTGAGAGAGAGGGAGTGAAAAAGACCCTTGCAGGGAAAGAAAAGTTAATGGGAATAGGGGGAAATCCCCACCACCACCACAAGCCCACGGCAAGATGTACATATCTCACTGCGCACATGTGCGATGCCTACCTCCGTGCACGTCAAGTGATACGCCATGTAGCAAGAAAGTGCCTAAGCGAATGATTACCGTTAAGAGCTCCCAATGGCCATCACCTTATCGGGTCTTCCAAAACTCCAAAACAGTTCGGTGTTCGTTCTCCAGTCGGTGTAGGCGGGAAAGCACCAATCCGCTGACGGGGACGTAGTCCGATAGTCCCTCCTCTGCGGCTTGCCGCGCCTGCATCTGCCCCTCAATCACCTCCCTATCCATCTCATGAATGGTGTGGAGGTACTTTAGGTCGTCCTGCAATGCCGCGACGATGCGGTCGTACTTCGCACGCCGCTCCCTCCAGACTGCCGCGTCGCCTCGCCGCTGTCGGAGAAAAAGATATTCTAGCGGTGGCCATACATTTTGCTGGGCCACCTCTAAGAGCTCCCTGGCGCTTTTCCGCAGTGAACTCAGTGATTGATCCCAGACCCCCCGCACAATAGGGCCCAGCAGTGATTTTTGCACGCTGTTCCCCGGCGCAAAACACTCTGCCAGGCAATGCCGTAGCACCACAAGGTTCCCAGCAATGGTCTCCATGTTCGTCGGGCGCACATCCAGGTAGTTAAAGGGAATGGCATTCGCTCTGTAGGAAGACGCCTGTAGCGTGGGTAGGCCGTCCGTTCGATTGTCACGGCATCTAGTGTTGCTATCAATCACCGCCTTCTCAGCGCTTGGAATCGCGCCTCCGCCGCCTCTCACGCGCTGCGGCGACGGGATCTGTGGCACCAGCGTGTTCTTGATGAATGACGCCACGCCACCTCCGAAGCGGGATGAGGAAGCGGCGCCGCCCTCGCCGTAGTGCGCTGCTAAAAAATGGTCCACGTCCGTCTCTATGCGAGTCAGGTACCGCTCCGTGGTCTGCCGCTTCGCTGACAAGTACTTCTCGTGGCGGGTCTCTAGCACCTTAAGAAGAACGTCGACGTCCTGCTCCGTGAGAGCTTCCATGTTGTGCCCAGTAAAGGCAAAAGAGGAGTGGAGTCTCCCAGAGATCCCTCGTGTCTTGCCCTGTGGCGCCGCTGCCGCTCCAATTTCGCCTCGACCATCGGAGAGTTGTGGCGGTGCAGCATTGACCCGCCGAGGCATCGCCGGGGCGCCCCCCACCGCCGTCTTACTACCCGTGTCCCCCGTGCCCGCAGCGTTGCCGTCGCTACGTAGGTGGTGCTTGGGGGCAGGGGCTCTCTCGTACAACCCTGCGGTGTGCACAAACAGCGGAACGGGTCGGAGAGCGCCTGCCACATCTGCAGGCAGCTCCACAATGGGGGGAAGTTCCCCCAACATTCCCGTATTCTCCTCTTCCTCCTCTCCTAGGTTTCACAGCCCCGCTGACAGCGTGCAAAGGTGGTGGTAGGAAAAGACAGAGTGAGAGCGAAAAAAAGAGAGCAAAAACTGCAGTAAAGTAACAAGCAGGGACCGAGCGGTATCGCCAAATAGCGGGTACATATTTCTTTTACTTCCTCCCCCTCTAGTTTATTTTTTTCTTCTCTCTTTCAAAACAAAGGCAATAACAGATTTTGTCCAAACAGTTAAATAAACCAAACTCACAAAGGAGGATGCAGCCGCAGCAGAATACACATTCCTGTGACTAATGCAGCTGAAGAATTTCCTGCGCCACACGCCGCACAATCGCCGGGGCAGTGGCAAAGCACTGAAACATCCCTAGACACGCCACATGCGCTACCGGCAGACGACTGGTAGTGTACCTCAGAGCGACAAGCCGCCAGTCCAGATCCTGCCGCAGCGCCGTGGCAATCTGCCGCGGGGAACTGTGGGCCACCAGCTGCTCGTCTGCGTCTGCGTCTGCGCCTGCACGATGCAAATCGCGCAGCGTGTGCGTTGGGACCACGCCGCCTCGCCTCTCACGCAGCGGCGCCAAAAGCACCACTGTGGAGTACGCACTGTCGTCCGACGCAAAGGCAGGGTCACACAGGAGACCGCCGGCCGCCGCCCCCTCAACACGGACAGCAGCATCCCCGGCACCGCCGCACAAAAGGGCGGAGGTCGCAAATCCCACTAACACGTCCTTTTGCGTGTTCGCAAAGAGCGTGCGCCGCCGAAATAGTCGCAGTGCCGCGAGGTGCCGCCTGCCAAGGAGCCGCGTCGACAGCACCGCCGCGGTGTCACTGAGAAGGAGTTCCCGC